TTTCTATATTTTTGTACTGATTCCTCGAAGATGTACAAGTAACAGATAAATAAGAGCAAACCCTATAGGACAATTTTTTTCTTTTCCTTAGTTTGCTTCTTAGAGTTTGTAGAATTAATTTTCCAGTGCTATCAAATTCGATATTTGATCAACTCAAACCTCACAGAACAACAACCGTCGAGCAACTCGGATGTCATTCGACGCGGCTTTTTCTCGTCTTTTTACCAATTGTTTTTGGTTTCCGATTCATGAAGTTTTTTTTTGGGAAAAAATCATCATAATTCAGGTTTTCCAAGGCGCCCCAGGCTGTAACCGAAATTTCCGAATGTTGCTAATCTGAAGTGGTAAATGCTCATATGCTTTGTAAAATTAGTGTTAAACCATAATCCACCTTTGCAAGTTTCAGAATCCAGAAGTTTATAGGTGTTTGATGCATGTGTGCTTGAGACAAGCCTGCAAAAATTCGGTGACTTTATTGAAAAATCTCTACAAAAATTATGAGGAGATACGGAGAGCAGAAAAAAAGTGGTACCGTTTCCTATAGGGGTTGCTCTATCGTTCCATTACCTGAACTTCTTCTGGGAGTTATTATAAAATGTTAGAAAAATTGTGGATCTTGACCTCCCCAAAAAGCATGGGTTAGAGATTTTAGTAATTTTTCAAAAGCTCATCGAGTATTCTGTAGTGAAATCATAGCCATTAGAAAGAGGGTGAAATGCTGCATCGAACGCTACCAAGAACTCCTAGAAACCTTGCTTCCTCGGAATGTAGCGTTCACTTGAAAAAAGCGACATTACTTTCGGAACGACCTAATATTACTTTGGAAACAAACTTTTGCAACTTCTTTCATAATTTTAACGATTTGCATGTGGCTCGCTCAATCTTTGACAATACTTAGATCCTCATGCGTGCTACCACTACAATCTAAATATGGTAAATATGTAGATCGTAATGGTAGAAAGATAGGAGAAAGAGAAATTTTTTTTATAGAAATAGAATTCAAAGGCAATTCGAGATCTGGCGTCCTTACAAAAACGAGTCGCTGTATATAAGGCTACTGGGGACAACCGTCCAACTCAAAGTGGCTAATTGGAATGAACGCATACCATTGGATGCGCCTTTACGAGCTCATTCCAAATCTACCTTCCATGTCTGCGATGCCGTTCTCTGCAAGAAGTTATGAGCAGTTAAAGATGTGAAGTGATTGGTGTTTCAACGCATAATGTGCTTCAAAATCCAGCTTGGAAGTGCATGACTAGCATGATATTGAGTGTATTAATTTCAGGGGATGCTCACATACGAAGGAAACACCAGTAAGTGCTTTCGAGCAGCTAAAAAATAATTAAAGTTCTTTGATAGGAGCTTTGAGCAATGAAAAGTCTACATTTAGCAATTACACGGCGCCATACCTCGAGTGGTTGATCGAAAACACTTTTCTATGTTTCCATTAAATGTGAGCATTCCCAAAAATCAGTACGCTCAATATCATGCTAGTTATGCATCTCCCAAATTGGATTTTGAAGCACATTATACATTGAAACGACAATGATTGCGCATTTTTAACCGCTCATAACTTTTTGCAGAGAACGGCATCGCAGATAAGGAAGGTAGGTTTGAATTAAGCTCGTAAAGACGCATCCAATGATTTGCGGTTCATTCCAATTCGCCACCTTAAGTTGGGATCGTTCCCTTGTAAGAAGCAAAAACCGCGAGACTTTGCACAGTGGAATTATTTGGCCTGCCGAACACATATCAGGTCGTTCCAAAAGTTCTTTCCTTTTTTTCAAGCTGTCCTAAAAACAGGTGGAATAAAGATGGGCAAATTATCCAGAGAATATTTAGTGCAGCTTTTCTTCCCCTTTTCAATAGTCATGCAAATTTTGCTTTTGTGGCCATTAAAATAATCGCCAAAATTCCAAGCCTACGTGGCCATACCAAAGTTTGGCATTTTCCTAAAATTTTCGGTCTCAACTTCTGAAATAGCTGTGACAACAGGCGGATAAAGCAAACAAAGTGCAATGCATTCAATTTTTGGGCATCACCAATTAGCTTTCCAGTAATTTTTTAAGATGATTTTTCCAAAAGTCTTCAATTTTGCAACATCGTGTGGTGCGCAAACACATCAAACACCGAGAAACCTTTGGAATTTGAGACCTCCAAAAGTCGATTATCATTTATCACTAATTTATCAAAGCAAGCGAGCTTTCGCTGCCACAAAAAATCGAAATTTGAGAGTAGGGCCCGGCGGAGATGGTTCGAAGTCAAACTGCACTTCGTTTTTTGAGGTTAGAAGCATCGTGGACATTGCTTTTATAAGGTCCTGGGCGAAGCACCGAAAAAAACGACAAACATGGCAGGCTTCACGAGTTGGACGTGTTCTTTGGCAAGCGCGCGAATTTCAAACGTAAGACCCAAACAAACAGATGGCTTGTTTATAGCGCACAAACATTCATATGATGTCGAATCTGGGCTATGCATATACAATATCACTCCAAACAACATTATGTAAAAAGTTTCAAAAACTTATGTTCCCTAATACCCGTTTCCGATTTTGTTGGTTTCTAGACCACCAACCCAACTGGATTGATTCGGAGCATAATCGGAGAGTTCACATAAGTTTTATACCTTTTTGATTTGGACGAAGAGAACGCTCCAAGAAGAGAACTGGCATAACTTCGGCACTCTGGCGGGAGCCTTAGCTAGGTGGTCCAAGCTAAAATTCAAATTTCTTGAGAACTAAAGCCTATAGAGAACTGAGAATTTACATTTGTGCTTCTACAGGTTTGTAGTATACAACTATCTATGTGGGGACGGCACAACACGACTTTGGCGAATGCACGAAAATTTCCGTTTTCGTAATTTCTAACATAGCTGAGTATTGAACTCAGCGTTTATAAAAACCCTATTACACAAGTTTTCACAATTTTTTGAAAATTTTTGAAATGCCAGCTTTTTCCACATTGACACCATATGTTTCAAGTTTATACCGTAATCCTACAGTAATAAAGAAAGATGGGTAATTCGTTCTACACTGCAAATCTAAGTTGAAGCCAGCTCTACAAAACAATACCTGAAGCAAGGCGAAAAACTTCTTGGGAAGAAAGATATTAACGATCAAACAGTGCATACATACTTTTGAGACACCCTGTATATATACCCCTTTGCCGTATTTTTTGCCAGCGCTACGCCAGCATTTCGATCGATGCACGCGTATTTCGTTGGGCGGGGCTAGCTGACGTCCCCAACGAAATACACGTGTATCGATCGAAATGCTGGCGTAGCGCTGGCATAACTTCGGCACTCTGGCGGGAGCCTAAGGAAAGCTATACTCAGTATTTCTCGAGAAATAAAGCTTGTAGAGGGTTGAAAATTTAAGTCTGCACTTCTACAAGCAACAGCTCAACCGAGCATTGGCTACAAGAGCAAAGTGTGCTCTATCCTTATACATTGCAATGTGAACTGTGCTTTCACAACTTGAAGAAAGTTTCCGGCAATCTTTAGACCAGAAAGTTTTTAGTAATGGCTATATTCACACAAAAGTATGCGTAATGTAGCCAAGCATCTACTGTCTACAACAGTTTTTATCGCGCTCGTTATTTTCGTCCAAAGCCAAAGTAAAGAAAACGTGCATTAAATAATCGCGTCATTAATGCTTTTGAAAAATATTGAAAAGCGTATCTCCGTCTAAAAAATCCTAAGACGCCGCAACTTGCTCGTGTACACACACCTAAATCAGACACCCGCATGCACAATTTCGTGACTTTTTCTTGACTAGGAACCCAAAGAACACTTGGCATGATTTTGCCAAACCAGTTCAGAAATTGGTATAAACCTACAGAAACCTGTTCCACCCATAATTGAGGATCCTCAAGAATTCCTGAGGACGAAGGCAGGAATTTCGGGTATTTAAGATTTTTTTGATATTTTGGCGCTTCAAACTTCATTTGGACAAAGTTCTTGCGGGTGTTTGTACTTCTTGTAGAGCTTGCTTCGTTCTCCATCAATATTCTACTTGCTTTTTGTATCACTTCGCCGCGGCAGGATGTAAAACGACATAGATTTTCGAATAACCCAACAAACACATGTCAACGTCGCTGTCCTTTCTCGTAATCTGCAAGTTCTGCGACCGCTGATTCTATAGTGTTCAAAAAAAGTGGCTTTTCTTTATGAGCGAAAATGCTTTTGGACCCAGCCGCATCCAAAAATGTGTGGTAAGTGGGTAAAGAAGCATGTATTAACATTTCGTTCCTGCAGTGAGCACGGATACTTATTCTGGGGAAGAACTATAGAATGCGAGAGCTTGCGTGCGTACCTTCAAATGTCAAAAATATAGTTTTGCATATCCAAGCCGCAGATGATGTTGGTGCAGGGCTCTGACGTACCAGGCGAATGGGAAAATGTGATCGACAAGATTTATACGAGTATATGATGCGCATCAACGCTGGATTTGGTAATAGGTTGGAAATTTGAAAACTGAGACAATCTGGTGGATTTTTCGCTTTGAATGTATAGAAACGAAAGTGGAAGTGCAGTAGAGTAGAATGAATCCTCTATTCTCAAAATGCAATAGGTTTAGCCTGATCAAACTATGAGATTGTAGTTGCACATGGAAGTTAACGCTGAAGGTAATAGCACTGTTAAGCAAAAAGGAGCTTTGCTACAGATGTTTGTATAATCATGAGCTGTGAGAGTATAGCTCAAGGCTTCCACCGGCTTCACTTCATTTTGCAGCTGCAAATTTTGTATATCACACTCTATCCCACGCAACATTTGTTCTATCCGGCTTCAAAAAGTCCAAGACCTCTCAAAAGTTAGTAAGTTCGTGTAGTCATAAACTGCACTGTATCATGCCTGACGATTTTGATCGTGTCAAGTGCTTGTGAGTCTCAATATTTTGACTCGTAGCTCTACAATGCCTGAAAATTATGTGCAGGACTTTGTAGAGTGCCTCTTTAACAATGTTCAAAGTATGACTACCAAGGCTTTTAGCTTGAACTCACATAAAAAAAATCCCTTCGGCGCACCAACGCGTTAGGCCGAGTAACATTCAAGTAACAAACTGCGCTTTGATCTTTTGCGAAAAAGGCAAGCCACCAGCCAAAAGTTGAAACGGCTGCAGAGATCAAAAAAGAGCGACACATCTGGGATGATAGATACAGGTCCATAGACTCGTGATAATTTGAAACAATCACTGCCTGAAAATGAATCGTTATTGCCGGCATGTTAACACGCAGTTAACTTACATCATTCTCAAACCTACCATCCTTGATGATAGCTTGCGACATATTGGTCATGAATTGCTGGTCATCTCCAAAAATTAGAAAACGTGTTATATTCTTCAAAAAAAGTGTTCAAAGAAGCTAATATGCTATTTTTATTTCTACCTTCCTCTTAGCCAGTGGAATAGCAGCTTTCACAGTAATGTTCATGTCAGTTTGCCATTTTAGCCGGATAAAGTCCGTCATTCGGACGTGTATGCACATTGAGTCAGAATGGCTGAATAAAGTAATCTATCTAAAGATATTTCAGCTTGCTTGTCATGAAGTTTTTAAAAAGCTCTAGGTAACCATCCTTTAAAGCTAGCTCTAGGTAACCATCCTTTAAAGCTGGCTTTATTTGGATTCATAGTATAGTGCGTTCTCTCTTACATGCTGTAGATATGATAGAAACTTTGAAGAAGGTTCTGAGTTGTTGAGGATCATATTTTACTAATGAAGAGTTATTGAATGAGCTGAAAACGCTTAAGTTGGGCCAGATGTACCTAATGACTGGTTCTTCGATGCTCTTTGGAATTTGATCACATTATTTTCAAGGCTCGCAAAGCTGATAGTAAGTTGCATAATGAGAACGGTGTGCGTGAAAACACTGTCGCACATTTTTACAATTTTTTTGTGATTTTTTTCGAACGGCATTTCATAGCGGCGCTATAGGCTTAGAGTTTTCACCGCATTCTTACAATAGAAAAAATTGATTAGTTGCTTGCTTTATACTGTAAATCAAAGATGAAGCCAGCTCCACAGAATGGTATCTGAAGCTTATAAGACTTCATGACCTGAGATTCAAACAATAGCAGATGAATGATAACAAAGTAGGGTTTTCCTGAGGTAAAACGGTTATGCAATTCAATTTCTTGACTGGGTTAAAAACTGAGTCTGTTAAAAAGGTAGAAATATGTTAATTCGCTGATTTAAAAGAGAGCGTAGGTCATTAAAGGCACCGTCCACCCAGATTTTCGACTTCCACGTTTTTGTCGTTTCAGGGCCTTTTCATGTCCCTGGTTCCGAATATGAAGTCGAGAATGTTCGAAAACCCCGACAATCCCCGTTCCGGAGAACCCACAGGCCGGCTTTCTGGAACGGTGATTGGATGGGCGCCCACAAATGGGCGGGAATGGATGGGGGAGGGCGGGCATGGATGGGGGTCCTCGTGCATCTTCGCTATTCCGAAGCGATTTTCTCGATTCCGAAGCGGCTTTTTGCGCCGCGACGGCATTGGATTGATAGAGGGCCCTACTATCATATGCTGCCAAAAGCTCAAAACCCTCAACTTAGGGTGGACGGTGCCTTTAAGGACTTATTAGGTTGTAAAGAAGGTCCTGAGCAGTTTTGGAAATTATATCAAAATCATTTTTTCGCATTCGGTCAAATTTTCACAACACATTTTTTGCAATGTTTTCTTTTTTGATGTTCTTTTTTGATGTATAGATCAGGTACGATTGGGCATCGATGAATATTAGGAACGTTATTAGAAAGCTTAAGCTGTGAACAACAAAACATTGCGATAAAGAATGTTTTAAAAAATTTGACGAATGCGTGAGAAATGATTTTAAAAATGAAACAAAACTGCTTAAGTTTCTTTACAACCTAATCAGTTCTTGATCACCTACGCTGTGTTTTATGTCAGCGAATGTAACATAATTCAACCTTTTATCAGAGGCTGACTCAATTTTCGACTTAATCAAGGAATTGAATTGCATAACTGTTTCCCTTAGAAAGACTATACTCTGTGTAAAATTGTTCATTTGCTTTTTATCGTGAGCTATAGGGTTTTTGCTGTTTAATGAGATATGAATATAAATGATGCGCTGTCCCTGAGGCCGATATTGCACCTCAGTGCGACGAGGTGCGAGGGAACCTCTTGGCAACAGACTTTAAACGGCTAGCGTAATTATTTTACCATAGGCGGCGCTGACGCCACATCTGGCGGCTGGATGCGGCAGCAGTCGGCTGCCTGGGTACCCTTGCTACGCACCTTAATCAAACAATAGGAACTTTTCATTTTATGCAGATTTTTGTTAACTCTTCTTTTGAGTGCTAATTTTCGGAGTAGAAACAAATTTATCGAAAACATTTTATAGCATCTAAAAGCCCTCCTCCTCTAGATTCTTTATCGCTTGTGGATTTCTGTTCAATCGACAAAATCTCAAAATTCTTACCTTCGACTCTTTTTTGCCCTAAATCCATGAAGGACAGCAAACTAATTCGAAAAATCCAAAATAGCAGGAGTTTTCTGCTACAAATGCCTTTTAGACAAAATTTCAAAGGAAGTTTGAGCAAAAGCAATTACTTGCTTTGGGTGGCCCTTGTAGATTTCCGCGCAAAGTTAGCACGATGTGGCTTTAGCTATTTCTAAAATACGAAGCCCCCTTGACTCCATCTTTCACGACATGCCCTTTGAAGCGTTTTTAGGAAAAAGAAACAAAATAGAACATTAAAACCAATTCCAAACTTTGAAAATAGTGATGTTTGTATGGTTTGCTGTAGAAGCATGCTGTGTCCGCCTCTCCGCGCATCACCGCGGAAACAGCATTGCTGCAGCGATTCCAAAATTGTGGAGTTGTAACTAATGGAAGGAAGGGGTTTGCGGCGATGCAAGAACGCATAGACAGGTAAGGGAATGTAAAACAGAATTATGTAAAAAGTATGAAAAAATCATGTGAAGGAGAAAAATGACTTTTTCATTTAACGGCCACCTCAGGTGGGCTTTCGGTTAGAACAAGTCTTTCATTTTTTTTATACATTTTGCCAGCTCGCTATTGCCCCCCCTACTCACGAATTTTTGTGTCATATCATTGCGTATTGATTTTCGTTTGTTTAGGACACCGCCTTGTTGGAGCGTGTCACCTGCACTCCGGTGACGTGCCGATGACATGCTTGCGACTCTCCTCCGCTCCGGACCCGCAAAATGACATCTCCGTGCTTTTTACCCAAAACGATATTCAGCCTCCCCGGTAAGACACTTGTGCCGAGTCTTGCTTCTGCGCCGTGTAGAACTCTTGGGCCAGCCCACAGCTCTCAACTATAATTACGCATGATGCAATCTACAGTACACCTACAGTAGATCTGAAAGGCAGACAAAAAGTAGAGGTCATCCCTAGATTCGTACTCAGTGGTAAGCGGTACATTTCTCAGTTTTCAGCGAAGAAATTGGAAATATCAAAAGCCAAATTTCTTCTCCCTACAAACTTCCGGAAATTGAGAGTAATCTTGCACCATCTCCTTTTCGCAAGAAAAGAATTCTTAAACTTTACTGCACTGCTCAACAAAATCGGCTATACGATGAACATAACACAATCTGCTCTAAACTTTTACATTTCTGAAAATGTTATGCTCTCTTGAATTGGAGTTTTGTGGAAAAAGTTTTTGGCAGTCTTCAAACTGAAAAATTTTTCTTTGATGGCTGCAATAACATAAAAGTGTCTAATTTATAGCCATAGTTTGCTGTTCATTAGTTTTTATCATCCAAAGGTTTTTTCGGGAAAGATTTATCTCAATTTGAAGTGGAGGTATAGAAAACGTGCATTAATTATGAATCAACCAATCAATCAATATAAGTTGCAACCAACTCTATACTTTTTGCCTTTTGATTGTTACGTACTTACTTACTGACATATTTTGAAATTGTGAGCTGCATATTGGCATAAACCGCATTTTTTACAAGCTAGACTAGCACAACGATCCGGGTTTGTACATGCATTGTTGCTAAAGGTTGACTATTCAGCTAAAAAAAGGAAATTTTAACACTGTCAAAAACCAGGCGCTTTTTCGAGGCTGAACGAGGCCCTGTGTGCAACATTGCCATGGATAACCGTCAACGGGTTAGGAAGAAACGCAAAAAAAACGCCGAAACTTTGCTGGGGTTATTTGCGCTAGTGAACACGAATATCATAATCATTTGTTAAATTCTTTTCTTTCAACTGGAACCCCGCACTATATATCGATCGCAGTCCTACGAAAAGGCCCTATCATGCAAAAACAGTTATAGGCGCTGCATGACGAAAGCGCAATACCTTTGGACTCGAACGCGGCTTTATTAGCCGCAGAGCGCATGAGGCATAGGATTCACAACGGTGAGGATACTCGCGCACCGCGTTCGCGCCTGCTCAACTGAAGCTGCTTTTGCGCCTTCGTCATGCAGTAGCCTTTACACTCTCGGCACAACAAATAACCTCGCTAAGTCAAGTATTAGGCAAATCTAATATTCATAAATTCTAATCTCTGCTTCCCTAACATAACTATCGTGATCCTCACTGCGACATGAGAATCTGGCAATTAGTAACTACAGTTGTAGCTTACGTTTAACTTACATAATAGCAAAATTTAGTGCATTATTTTTAACAGCAGTGGGGCAGATGGGGTTTTGGGATTTCAGTGCCATGCGAGAGTGCCTCCCTCCCCCCCCCCCCGTCAACATCGCGCAAGTGCGACGTCATAACGCTCGAACTAAAGTAAGAAAATCGACCATGTGGAAGCTTACACCTTGGGCCGGGGTCCTCCGAGCTGTCCGAATTCCTGCTATGCGGCATGCGCATGCCGCCAGCGATTCTGCGTCTCCGCCCTGGTGAGACCGCCAAATGTCAATCGGTAAGGCTTTGGAAAAGGCAAGTTTTCGCCATTTTTGCGTCTTCCAATGTGGATTTTCGAATTCAGCGTTGCGGATAACCCCCGGTAAGTGGTTTTTCTAGTAATCGAGTTTTTGCCCGGACACTGCCTTTAAGAAGGAAAAATTCATTGAAATAAATTTAAAAACTTAGTCCAACTCAATGGCCGCCGTAGTAAACACTCTCTCAGCGCAGTTCGGCAAGGACGGACCCACGTCCAACGTAGGACATCTCAGTCCGGCATCCAGTGAGTTATTGTTCTGGGTGCGGTTTGCTTTTTAGACATGAAGACCTTGCGCGTTCTTAAAGAGGGACACCTGTACCGCAGCAATACTCAACTAAATTGTCGCGTAAGTTGCTCACAAGCAAAAGTTCTGATTTTTCTCTTTTGCACTCTATCCTCCTCATTTCACCATGGATTTACCTTAAAGGCATTGTCCAGGTCAACTTGGGGTATTGGGATCTTGAGACAGTGTAAGAGCATGGCTCCTGGCTAACGCAACAGTTCAAGTGCAAGTAACCATGTTGACCTGGACAATGCCTTCAAGGTTTTCTGAATGTTTGGCTGACCATTTTGGAGCACGGAAAAGTAAGTGGTCTTAGGTTTAAGGTACGAAGTTCTTCTGAAAGGCTCATCTTAAGTCAACTGAGATGAATGAGGAACTGATGAACTGCCTATATGTTGAAAGCCCTTCTACCTTCGTAAAAAACTAGTTGTCATGCTTCCATTATGTTTCATTTCTTTTGAAAACTGCAGGATAGCACGAACATCAGTAGCATAGTCCTCAAAATATCTGGGATTTTGGCCAAAAACAAAGTCCAGCAACAAAAATTGATCAGTAAGGTTCCTTAATCTGAAAATCAACTCTACCAAATTAGGTTAGAAGATAATACCTAAAGGCACAAACCTTGATGGATCGACAAAAAAGTCCGGCTTTTTGGCGAACTTCACAACTCTTTGCTTGGTTCCTTTCTGAAAAGTGCTCATTTGCAGGTCCACGAATTTTTAACGATGAATCACATCATATCAATCCTTTTTAACTTGCAAAATTGGATACAATGGGACGACCAAAAAGTTGGCACTAAAGTTATGCAAAACTAGTAGAAGGAACGTACCTTTGCAAGAACGTAAGTCTTGTTTAAATAAGGAAGAACTTTTCCTAAATAATCTAGATACTTCTCGACGTGTGCCCTTGGTTGTTCGAATGGCAGATAATGAATCCTGTATATAGTCCTGGCGATACCATATCCAGCGAACAGGTGAAACAGCTTAAAAAATACACGTACATGTCTATAAAAAGTGCAAGTGACTTCTTTATTTTTGTAAACAATTAAAATAGTTTTTAAAATTTAAAAGTTCAAGTAAGTCTTGCAGAAAAATTTTTAGGGGTTGGGACCCCGCAGAAATTTTGAAGAGCACCCCTAAAATTTTTTCGGAGTGCGTGGCTGACCCCAGCACCTTCATTTGAAAAAAAAAGTTCTGCCCCCCCCCCCGGACGGAAGTCCTGGGGACCGCCACTGGTACATGTGGGTACTGATAAGTATAGTATACTAGCAGAACGAAGCGGAGAAACCTTTGTGACGCACTCCAAATTTGGGTCTCTCGAGATTTTTTCAATTTTTTGCAAAGCTATTCTGATTTCTTCAGACTCTAATATTCGAAGTTTTATAGGGTGGTATCTTTATCTAAATGGCCTAACGTTTCGGCGCTTCACCGTCCTCAGAAGCTTGAAAAAGGCACAAAGCATCATCTGAGACACCAGACCATCAAATGCTTTTTCCAGCTTAGCTAGTATCGAGCTCTTTCCTAGTTCAATCCGTAAAAATCTTCAAAACCGAGATAAACCAACCGTTCATACTACGCTATACGAAGTGTCCGCGCCGGAAGAGTATGACAGCAAGACCGGGATTATGTGACAAAAGCGGACAATTGAGCTGCACTTTGTAGGGCAGATAGAACGTTTATCTGCGAATGGCTGGTAAAGTCTATCTACCATCTATAGCTCACACATGCTACGACCGGCAGAAAGTCGGCAGTGATGGACAAGTACTCGTTTTTGTTATCCATTTCTGACTCTTTGCCGGATCCTGAGTGCCTCTAATGCCTTTCTAGCCGAGATCTTTTTCTCGTGTGTTAAAACCGTGCATTTGATTTTGAAGTCCTGTCCATCATGTGAGCCGGTTATATAAAGTTGATCATGGAGTTGAGTTCGAACAAGCTGCTTTCCGATGTTCGCATTTCATTTATCTGTATATACATGAATCAGAAAATTTTTTTTTGCCCCCCCCCCCACCGAACCCGAACGGAAATCCTGGGGACGCCATAGGTATGTATGTATGTATATGTATGTATGTGCATATGTATGTTCCGAATAGAAAATCTTGTTTCTGAATTGATCCGGACCAAACTTGGCATACATACGCTTTGGGGGGGGGTGGATGTTGTAAGCTTTTTTTCGTCATCAATCAATGTCGATTTTATCGTTTTTTTTCGATTTTTTTGCATATGGGCTTCAGACTGGCACGAAGGAGGGGTAAATGAGCATCCCGATTACAAATGTAATATTACAGTTGAAATTATCGATTACCTTTATCGACTTCATCGATTTTTTCAAAGTTTGAGTTACGAGGATAAGGCTGCCATAGAGGATATGAGCAGGCTGATTTCGAAAATAAAAAGGGGATAGGGAATTGGCATGTAGTAATGGGAGCACGGAAAGGTTGTACGGGGATACTACAGTGTTTATCATAGTGTTTTGACAGGCCCGAGCAAAGCCGGGTATGTCAGCTAATCTTATATTTGAAGCTTGTGTGTGTGTGTGTTCCGAATAGATTTTTTATTTTTGAACCAATCCGAACCAAACTTGGCACACATACACTTCGGAGCGAGGAGGGTGTAGGCTACTTTGCGCCATGATCTATCGATTTTTTGCAAAGTTTGAGCTACGGGGCTGGTAGCTAGCACACCGGGTGGGGTAATTGAGCATGCTGATTACTAAATCAGCGGGAATAGGGAATTGGTATGTAAACTTGGGCAAAGGGAAAGGTTGTAATACAGAGATACGGATGGGAGCTTTATCATAGTGTTTTGACAGGGCCGGGCGGAGCGGGTATGCCAGCCAGTACAGAGTAAAATGACGTCATCCAGCACTGAGCATGAGCAATCCACTATTGGAAAACAGAATGATCTTGTCGAAAAAAAGAAAGGCAAACGGAAAGTTTTTGTCCTCGTAAATGCGGTTATCGCTTATATGTTTTGTTGTTTGCAATGTGGAATAACCGTTGCTGCGAACAAATTTTGAAAACACGCATCTTGCTTCGCGGTGCTCATCTTCTCCCGAGCACACCAATGTTGCTGTCCTGAACATATTTAGGGTATTACAGCCCGCTTAGCACTACAAATGTGCGGAGTTCGTGTTACAGAGGATGTTTTTGAAATATTCTTACGAAATAACTCCATTTTCACAACGCCGTTGGTTAAGCTGACCATTGTGTTCAAATAAGGTAAACATTCTCCCTGTCTTCCTGTGGTTTTCGCGCGTTAACTTGATGTACTAACGTAAGTTAGGAATCCTAAACATCCGTTCATTTCAGACTGTGTTCTAGTAGCTAAACAGTAGTCGTCGATGTCGGTGCATCAATGGCATCTGCCTTAGCACAGATTCTTCAATATTTTCCATGAAACAGATTGCAAGAATCGGTACTAGTCGCTGACCATAGCGAAATCGCAGATTTGAGAATAGCGCTCAATTGGACATTATACAGGGTGTCCCAAAAAAATGTGAACACTGTTTGATCGTTAATAACTCCATTGCTTTTAGGTCTTTCGCCGAGCTTGAGGCATCATTCTGTAGAGCGAGGTTCAACTTGAATTTGTAGTATGGAGCGAATCACTGACCGCTCTTCGTTAATGTAGGATTACGTTATGAACTTCTAACATGTGGATCCATTGTGAAATATGCCATTTGACAAAATTTTCTTCAAAATTTCTGAAAAGTCGTGCACTGGGGTTTTCGCTCACGCTGAATCCACTGCACAACTTTTTAAGAGTGTTTTTTGCTTTTTTGACGGTGTAATCACACTTCTGACAAATGCTGGAAATTCAGCTACTACGGTTCACCTGGGCTAAACTTGGAAAGAAGCATCACAGTAAAGTGGCAATATCATATTCGAAATTTGCGGCTTCCATTACCATAGTTCAAGAGTTTTGGGCTTGTTTGGTTTTGTTCCGAGGCATAAAATGGCCTCCAATGGTGTAAAACCCTTGTCGAAGTTCCTACCGTAATCCTACAGTAATGAAAAACTGTCAATGATTCGCGCCATACTATAGATCTAAGTTGAACCTTGCCCTGTAGAATGGTGCTTAAAGCTCGGAGAAAGACTTGAAAGCAAAGGAGTTATTAACGATCAAACAGTGTTCACATTTTTTTGGGACACCCTGTATACAGTATTTATACATTAAGGTGGCACATAAGTTCTTATTATACAGCTTTTGTCTTTTTGAACGTAGCGCATTCATTTTCTGGCAATATAAGCTTTATGATGTAAACTGCAAATGCGGACATTTTTGCCGAATTTTGCCCAGGGTGTATTCGACATGCTGATCACAAAAATGAGACCCGTTTTGCATGAAAAGGCCTCTTTCGTAAGGTCAAAATGACTGTTATCTTAGCAACAAATGAATATGATATTCGTGTTCACCGTATATTCGTGTTCACTGTTAACCGTATCGTACCGTATTATTCCATTGTGCAAAAATTCCGCGAGTCCTGAGTTTTCGCTTTTTAGTTATTAACAAATTGCCCTCAAATCTTGACGCATTTGACTTGTTCTACTTCTCAAAAACGCCTTATCTTAGTTTGTCTTTGGACTTCACTTCTTTCTTACTGATTATGACGTGCCAACTTCTAGCTACATGCTGCCTACAATTCCTTTTGGATATTTTTGTTCAGGTTTTGTACGGCTTCATGTTTGCCGAAAAACCATGAGACTTGGATTTTCAAGGGTTTTCGAAAAATGCTTGAATTTTTTCTACAACGTTATCATAAATCGAACAGTTTGCGAAGACTTGCAGCTTACGTCACACTCTACACGATGCCAAATGAGAGTGCTACATTCAGCAAGAAGAAAGTTTTAAGAAAAGTTGCAAAACAAAGTTGTCAGTCTGTGAAGTCTCATGTAAACCTTCAAAGATTTTTTCTCACTTACCCTAATTCCTCCTCTACTGATGTAGATTGCGTCAATTTTCATGGAAAGCAAATACAGCATTACCTAGTTGTGATTTTCTTCGAAACCGCAGCAATTTGTTCACTTCCTTGATTTGGGGTTTTTATTATTTAAATCTTTGCAGACGTGTTTTATCATGCAATATCGCAGCGGGCACAGCACAAGAAGCAAAGGGATAGCAATAATCGATATGCCGAAGCAAGGTCTACAAAATAAATCTTAACATTTCTGGGTGAAGTTTGGACCAAATTTCGAAAATAAGTACAAAGTTTGAAGAATATTAAAGAATCTCTTCTGGAAGGTCATTGGAAGAGCTTGCATTGCTCTATCAAATGACACCCAGCTCACTGTTTTCCATGATCACTCTTTCGCCGTAGGATGCGATGCGCCATTATTTTCTGGACAACTTATTAGAAATCAGACCGAAGCGAACAGCTCCGTCATCTTTTAAAAGACGTCATAGCTGTTAGCAAATGTAATCTTAAGATAAATGCAAAGCTAGATAACCAGTTGATTACAAATTCACATTTCGCTGTTTCTACTTGTACCTGACCAGCTTTGTTTACTCAAAACAAACGTTAGGCGGTTTACTCGAAAAAATACAAAATCACAGTGTTTCAGTTTCTCGCAGGCAGCGGCGCTTGAGACGAGTTGCAGTTTGGTACTCCGGGCGCCTTGAGGCTGGCTTATATGCCAATATCACCGCGGTCTCGAGATTTCAAATTTATTGTTCTTTTTCGCTTTCATGGTAATTTTATCTGA